ATATGTGGGCTTGTCGCAGATTTTCCCTTGCAAATTGCACAAACAGGTAGGTTCTGTGTCTTAATGTCTTAATAAACATGCAGTGGTGTCACTGGCATTCAGGTGAGCTACACATCAAACCGCAAACACATTAAAAACCACAAAACAACACGCAGCTTCCCAGAGCCATGGCCGTCTGACATTTCCAATCCAATTAAACTTGAGAAATGTCACTCTTTGAAATGGAATCGAGTACTTCTGCTCACTGACCCGGTGTCTCGTGAGTTATTGATGGACTTTGTCCTGGTCTTAGATCAGTTCTCAGGGGATCTGGTGGAGTGACGCTGGTCTTGGATCAGTCTGGCATGAAGTTCTCTTGGTTGAGATCCATCTGGGAAGAATTAAGGATTTTTTTGAACGGTCAGATGATGGTGAGATTTTGTTGGATTTATTTGTTGTCCCTCCAGAACATTCCGAAATCTGAAATCACGCCACTCCTGCATGAGCCGGCCTGATTTTCCGCTGCATCAAGCAGAATGTGGATTGTGAGTTCCGCACAAAATGTAGCCTACACAGTGATGGTGTCAGATAATAAAGTAGTTTGATATATAGGGTTCTATTGATTTTTAAACCATAGCACAACATTTCATCTCAACACATCTTAAGATTTCATCTCAAGTTTTAAGGTTAATTGAGCTAATTTAGTGATGCATACCTGTCAACCCAAATTCCAAGGTTGTCCGGTTGCCAGGTCTAGTATGAAACGCATCTTTCTCACACGATCGACGCAGACAAATGTCAACCCATTTGTCCCCTCAACTTGGCAACCTACAGCAAGCAGCTTCAAAATGCTATTTAATTTATTAAATATGAGCGCTGCAAGTTTCAAAGTCAGGTGCTGAGCTGTTTTGTTTACTGCGGTTATGCCTGCTGGCATAAAATGAATTTGCATTTTTCAATAAGCCCTTCTGCTCCAAAGCCAAAAACGACCCTTATTTTTACGTCAGAAACACGCAGTTGTAAATGTCAACTGGTGGATCGACAAGAAGATAATGAATTATAAAACTCTAAAGATGTAGCCTACACTAAGATATATTTGTTACTAAATGAATGTTATTGTTTGATAATAATTGTTTAAATTAATATAAAAATAATATAATATAATATAAAAAATTTTACTTTTTACATTAATATGGTACTCCGAGGTATTGCAAAAAATACCAGGGTATTATCAGGGTATTAAATCATACTACTGTCATGGTACATGTCCAAAAAAATTCTACTACCATGGCATGTTTTTGTTAGTGACTCACTTTCTCTGTTCTGTCGTTGTTTAATAATTAATTTAGAATAATTAGTTTAATATAAAAAGATGAAGTGAATTGCTGTTCAAAGAAACACATTTGGGATAAACAAAAAACGCCAAAACAAATAATATACATAAGGCAGAAACAAATATTGAGTTGGGCTCATGCGTGTAATTTACTTCCAAACTGCTTCCATCCAACATGCAGATCATTTACATTTTCAAGATTTGTTTCCAAGACATTTGCAAGCTCTTTTTCAATGCAGCATTATAACACACCACAGGCGCAGTTGCGACGTGAACGCTTGTCCAAATTATATTGAATACAATCCCATAATGCATTGTAATGGGCTGGTGGATGGTAATGTCAACTCCAAATAAACATTTAATTCAAAACTAAAAAGTAAACATACAATTGTCAGTGCTATTTTTATGCTTATGCTTATTGTCACCAAAGTCCCTCTCAATGAAAGTCTGTTCCCTCGGTGGCCATATTTACACTGCACAGAAGCGCTTCTGAAGTGGCATTTAGGTATCTTTACACAGACTGTTTAATGCTGCTCAGAAGTGGCACACATGCATTTTCACAGCAATTACAACTTTATGCTTTGATACTAGTGCCTGAGGTGGCTCAGAGCAGGCATAATTTAATCTGGCTTTTAGGTGGCATTGCATCTCTACACTGAATTCTGAGCAGGCATAAAGCAGCCTTAACTCATCTGTGTAAAGATGCCTCAAGTCCTATCTATTTGAATGGGGAAATCCTGTAATCTTAGATTGAATTTTGTGAGGGGGTGGAGCTACTATGTGAATACACTTATAAAGTGTTGTACTATGGTTGTCAATGGGACAACTTTGTAGTGTAGAACAGCAAATTTGTAGTGTAGATAAAATGCAATGCAGTGAAATTCTCTTCCAGATGTAAATTATTTTTGACTGTAGAGGAAGTAACAGTACATCCGTCTAGTTGCAAATTTTAATCCAAGAGATTCTGTGTACTGTTTTTTGGTCCAATAAGTAATATCTCTGTCTTATCCGAATTTAATAGGAGAAAATTATTGGTCATCCAATTTTAAATTTTTAACACACTCTGTTAGCTTAGATAATTTAGAAGTTTCATCTGGTCTTGTTGAGATATATAGTTGAGTATCATCAGCATAACAGTGGAAACTAATCCCGTATTTTCTAATAATATTACCAAGGGGCAACATGTATATTGAAAATAGCAGAGGACCTAGGACAGATCCTTGTGGCACTCCATATTTTACTGGTGATAATTGAGATGACTAGAAAAAAATGCAGTGCTTCATTTTGCAGTAAAGTTGAACTGTTTGGTTAAGATAAGTTTGAGTTTGGATGGCTGTGCTAATTGTTTTGAGAACAAGTACATTACATTGGAGAGAAGTGTAAAATCAATTGAGAAAAACTGTAAGTGAGGACTCCGAGCAAACGGTGTAGTGTCCAAATCAGTTCCCCAGCAAAGCTTTAATCTGTGAGATGAATTTCTAACAGATTACCGTGATTTGTTTCTTTTTAATGAGCAGTAATCCATCCAAAACTGGCAGAAAGAATAATACAGATTCCCATCATAAACAGCCAAGCAGCAGTTAATAAACATCGCCTCATCAGCGCCTCAGCGGGACAGCACTCTTTCCACATCAGACATGACAGAGCGTGCCAGAAAGCAATAAAACTAACAAATGACCCAATCCGAATCCTATATCTTGCTCTTAGACCATCCATAAGATCAGTATTGAGAGGCAGCACATGCGTTGGGCACCGCTGAGCTCATAAATCTACAGTACCTGGGTGTTTGCTGAAAGCAGAAGCAGACCTGCAGTGACCCTGGACTGTTTTAATGAAAGCAGGCTGACCCGTGTGTGTCAAGCACTCTCTGTAGTGAACCAGTTACCCTCTTTAAATTGTAATAAGTAGTGTAACTATTTCAATTACTTTAATAATGTAACCGATTACATTTGATTACTTTCTAAATTTACTAAACTGTTAATAATTTTGAAACATTTAAAGCAGGCAGGGTTAACCTCACAGTAGTGCTCAACACTGATTACCGTAAGACTTTCAAAACCTTCATAACTTGAATTAAGATTATAATAATTACATTTTAAAGCACAGCCACCACAAAATCAGACTTTAGCATAAGTCCTATTCTGTGTTCTAAACTCCTGAACCATTGGTGTCTCATATTTTAGTGCAGTCACTGCAATTTATGAAAGAAATCAATTAAATCTGTATGTGTGTGAAAATATTCAGATGTAACCCCCTTTTTAATCTTAACATTTTCATATATATTACAGTTACATTTATTTTGTAATTAAATTACGACATCTAGTGGCCATTATGAGACATGACAGCTCTTTATTTTCTTGCCCTAAACAAAATGCTGGTACAGTATTTGTATTTATTGATTACAAAATTAAATAAATAAACGAATTAACTTCAGTACAGTCTTCTGAAGTGATATGATAGCTTTATGAGTTAGTATTCATCTGTTTTTCACATGCATAATATAATACACAAGCTTTGAAAACGACATATGGGTTTGAACAACATGTAAACAGCGGTCATTTTCATCTTTCTTTAATTTTCTGTATTGCTTTGGCTGTTGAGATGGATTACATGCTGATTCGTGATTCATGTCAGGCAGATATCAGCTGTAACAGATGGTATATATTTCTAGTGATTGTGCACAAATCTCATAATCCTCGTGGGTTTATTCAAACAGTTGTTGAGTGTGATGTTGTTTAAACAGTTCAGCATTGAGTACACGAGAATAAATCAGCTACAGTTGGAAAGATTAAGCACTTTTTAAAGTCTGTTATGGATATGCTGAATTCAGCATGTTAGAACAATAAAACATGCACTTTTTACACACGTTTGTAATTGCTAACACAGTTTGGGTCAGAGACTGCGCTTTCCAATGATATTTAATACATTTCAAATATTGAATTGTTACTTAATATTAAAAGTCGTTTTTTAACTATTATCTAATATATTTCTTTAAATTATATTCTATTGAGTAATGTGGTTTATTTTGTAAATTTTTTAATACATTTAATAAAATAATGTTGTTTATTTTATGGGACTGGTTATGCTTTGAGCCTATTTTGAGTTGCCCTTATTATAGAACACTTAAAATATTTATTTAAATTATAGTCTATATAGTAATGTGGTTTGTTTTGGTGATTGATGAACTGATATGAACTTATTTTGAATTTTAAAAAAAAGATTGTATGTTGTTGTACTGGTTATGCTTTATGTTAGTGTCCTTATATAACACTTTAAAACACTCAGTGATGGGGTTTGTTTTGTTGGCTGTTGAATTTTATTAAAATATATTTATTTTTAATTTATACATTAATTAATTCATTCATTATTTATGCATTCATTCATTCATTTCACACTTTATTTTAAGGTGAACTTGTTACGGTGTAATTATTGCTATATTTAAGTACAGAGTAATATTAATTACATTTACATTTAGTCATTTAGCAGATGCACATTTTTAGATTTAAAAAAAAACTCATTCTGAATTATTTATAAGCATTTTGAATTACGGGGACACTGAAAATGTCCTCATAAATCACCTTCTCGTTGTAATACCTGTCATACCCATGTTATTATACAAATTTGTGTCCTCATAAACCACATAAACATGCACACACACACCCATACACACACACACACATACACACAATAAGGAAGTTAAATAAATGTGAACAGTTTGAGGGTCAAAGTCACCAAAGTGACCCAATGACCCGCGGCAGGACTGTCACGTGATGCCGTTCAGTTCCGCCGTGCTGAGGGTGCGCTCCAGCTGCGTCGCGTTTGAGCACCGGTGCGCTTCCACCTTCATCTTCTTCTTCATCATCATGATGATGACTCGCGTGCGGTCCGCGGTCTCCAGCATCATCGGCGGCATCATGGCTTCGGGATCCAGCGCGCAGGAGACCCAGCCGGATCCACCGCTCCGGTTCCCGTACAGCAGACCGGATTTCCTCGCGCTGTCTCCAGACGAGGTGGAGTGCTCTGCGGATCACATCTCCAGACCCATCCTCATCCTCAAGGAGATGAAGCTGCCCTGGGCCGCCGGCTACGCGGAGTGAGTAGCGACGCGCGCTGATTTGAGCGCTCGGATGCTGCGGGATGTTTGCGTTCTTCATGATAATCAGGATGAGGAACAGAAAATGAAAGATCCATGACACGCATCCATGCTTTCATTTCCATGCAGCTTTAGCAGGGCGCATGCGCGCGTTTTGCGCATTATATCATAACCTAATTCACGTGAAGCTGTCTAGATGTAGAGCTACAGCAGGCTCTGCATTGGATAATGGTTATGAAATCAGATTTCAGACAGCCCAGGTTGAGTTTTATGCATTTATGATATGCTTGGCATCTAAATTCAAGTCTTGTGTGTGAGCCATGATTTATGGATACTGTTTGTATTCATTCCCAAAGTCAGAATGGTATATCTGGACTTAAATAGAATTGTAGGATAGAGAATAATAAGCCACATTATTTATATTCTATTGTAGTGTTTATTAATATGTTGTATTAGCTTTCATGTTTTTCATTTTAATTTTAGATTAGGTTTTAGTAATGTTGTTATGTGCTTCTGTCATTTTGTGTCAATTATGATTTCAGTTTCAGTTATTTTAGTCTTCATTGAATTGAATTTAGTTTTAATTTAATTAAAAGATCAGCTTAATTTCATTTCATTTTAGTTTTCTACCTAAACTAGCTGCCAACACAGCATTTCTAATTTTTTAGTTTTTTTAAGTATTTCATCTAATGTTTATATTTTATTTCAGCTTTATTATTTAAATTTACGAAAAATTATTTTTAATCGACTAGTTCAATTGTTTTAGTTTTTGTTAACTGTAACAACACTACAACTAGGACATTTCCTTTTGAATCTAATTCTGTCCAGTCCAGTCTCTAACATCTGAATGCGTCAGCTTTAGTTCTCTGATATGAGGATGTTCAAGTGTGATTCACTCACTTCCCTTCCTGACGGTGGTGTAGAGAAGTGAGACTGACAGGGAAGCAGCTCTCAGATGCCCGGTCACATGATCATAAGAGCACAGGCCCGACTCGTTCTTCCTGTCCTCTGAATGTGTTCCTGTTCACTGATCTGATGTTGATGTTTAACTGAAGCAGTAGAGCAGGGGTGTGCAACCCTGCTCCTGGAGAGCTACCGTCCTGCAGACTTTAGTTCCAACCCTGCTCCAGCACACCTGTCTGTAATTATCAAGCAACCCTGAACACCTTGATTAGCTGGTTGAGGTGTGTTTGATTGGGGTTAGAGCTGAAATCTGCAGGATAGTAGGACACCCCTGCAGTAGAGCATTAACCAGAACAAATCACCTCAAACAAAACCAGAGAGAAAGACTGTGCTTTTGACCTCTGCCGTTTACTGTAACCAGATCTATCTATCTATCTATCTATCTATCTATCTATCTATCTATCTATCTATCTATCTATCTATCTGTCTGTCTGTCTGTCTGTCTGTTATTCTATCTATCTGTCTGTCTGTCTGTCTGTCTGTCTGTCTGTTATTCTATCTATCTATCTGTCTGTCATTGTTATTCTATCTATCTATCTATCTATCTATCTATCTATCTATCTATCTATCTATCTGTCTATCTGTCTGTCTGTCTGTCTGTCTGTCTATCGTTCTTTCGATCTATATTATCATTATGTTGTTCTATTGTTCTATCTATCTGTTGTTCTATGTATTTTCTATCATTGTATCTGTCTATCTGTCATTCTATCTATCATTTTATCTCTCTATGGTATGCTGAGCATTTACTATAACACAAGTCTGAGAAATCAGAGAGGATTGTTATGTTTAATGTGTGTTTCTGACCCTGAACCTGCCCCTGAAATCTGACTGATTGTGAGGAATGATGTTCTTTGAATCCAGCTGTATTTTCTACATCAAAAGAAGCGTTTCCAGCAGCACGAGTGAGACGTCACAAATGTCCCTGCAGAATGACATGCGTCTCCTCTCAGGACAAAGCCATGGACCGCATAAACCCTGTTAAATCCTCATTAACAAATCCGGATGCAGGAATGGGTTTCCATGGAAACCCTGTTGTGATGGGGGCAATTATCAGAGGCTCGTGAGCGAGCGTCATGCTGTCTTGTGCTCTTTAGAATCACGCTGTGACTCATCTGAGGAGATGATGGCAGTTGTGCATCATCGAGAAGCGTTTAGAAGCTCGAAAGACTTGTTTGACGAAGACCAAGAGGTTGTCGGTTTAAGCAGAATTAACTATTCCATCATCATTGTGCCAAGTCTTCATAAGCATGAACAGCCCTTGAGTCTCTATGGGTTAAAGTTGACTTCCTGCAGACATATAGAAACTGTGTTCGTGATGAAACTGTGATGATCTTCTGTGTGTCTACAGGGTGATCAATGCCGGTAAAAGCACCCTAAATGAGGACCAGGCGTGCTGTGAGGTGGTAGAGCTCAGGAAACGACTCGCAGACCCGTCTAGCCCCAGCTACACTCCCACCAGGAGACGCTCCTCGCTGCCCAGCGTAGACATCCTGGAGTCCATCGACAGCTCAGTGAGGCCTTCTGCCACCACTCTTTTTACAGTTTTTCTCAGTCGCTTTGGTGCATTTCTCAGATCAGAAATTAAATTCCCCAAAATACTTGTTCAACCTCCATATTAGGGCTGCGTGATAAATCGCATACGATATTCATGGGCATCTCGTCAGTAAAGCCGGTTCTGTGATTAGTAGTAAATCTCCATCATGTGCTTTCAGATGAAGCAGCATTTACTACACAGAGCCGTAGTTCACTGACAAGCTAGGCAAAACCACGTTCATAATCGCAGACGATATCATCGAGATTATGAAATTGCGCTGCGATAATAAAGTTGTATGAGTAGGTGAACTACGGCTCTGTGTAGTAAATGCTGCTCCATCTGAAAGCGCGTGAAAATACCACATTTAATAACATGTTTTTACTCCAAACTCACTTCATAACGTCAGTCGAGTGTTTGAAATAAACCCTTCTGTGAGATGATGTGGCTTCTTACACAGAATAAGGCACGCAACATATTTCATAGGATTCTAAGCAGTGATAAAGGCATTGCATTATTATATACTTTATTATAAGGACAATTATAGGAGGAAGAACTCAGATAAACCATATATTGTCATAGTCGTGTTTATTAATCACGTTGATTGCGATATCATTGCAATTTGTCGCGATTTATCGTGCAGCCCTACTCCACATCATCTAGTCACTTGTGCACATCATAAAAGCAGTTTCTCATTCTTTTGAACAACTTGCGATTGCTTTGGTACATTCATGCAACTGATTATGTACATTTGTCTGTGGTTTCCAGTGCTATCATTTGCTAATATCATGCTTCTCAAAATGTATTATATAGTTCTCTGTGCAATAGTCTTTCCTCTCTAAACATCTAGTCATTGGTTCATCATATAAGTCATTAAATGCAAAATGGTTGATCTAGTTGTCATAAACTGTCAAGCACATTTTCTACACAATTCTATTAGAATTTTTGTAAATTTGCCATGAATTGTGCAGGTGATTCTTGACTTTAACTAATGAAGAGAATGTAGATCAACCAATGATGAACCAGTTTTCTGAAATAGCTCAAGTGTAACTGTGAATCCTGTCCAGTTTTTTTCAATCAATATCCCACATACAGTAATGTGTAAATTTGTACTTTTGAAATGGATATATGGCATACATAGGAAGTGCAGCCTTCGGCATTTCAATACAGTAACTGTCATCCGAACTGTTGCCATAGTTTACATCAGGTAATACTAACAGAGTGCACTGTTATATTGACAACAAGAGTATCTCGATTGAATCTCGTTTGTGAACAGTGACACAAGGACTTTTCATTCTGATGGCACTGATATGTTCATTTACATAAATACTGACTTTTGAGAGATGAGCAAGTAATCCATTGCGTGGTGCTATTTGTACGAACTGTTTTGAGAAATGCACATACTTATTTGCAAATATTAAGAATGATTCAAGAAATACACCAAAGCGACTGAGAAAAACTGTAATGTTATTTCACACATGTCCGTTATGACTCCATCATGTTGATTTTAAAAGAACAGTTCACCCTAAAATGAATATTCGGTCATCATTTCGTCACCTCATGTGGTGCCAAAATAGAGCTGCACGATATTGTAAAAAACTGAACCTGCAATATTTAGTTTTTCTGCTACTACATATTTGTAAAATAAAAATATAATTTTCACCGGAAGGCTTAAATAGATATATTTGGAAAGAATTAGTCATTCTAGAAGGAGTGGGATGATTTTGAGGATGAGTGCATCTGCATTAAAAAAAAAAAAAAAAGTAAAAAGCTGAAATATAACTTATGACTCTGATGACTATGATGAATTTTTAAGCATGAATTGAAAATAAATGGTGTTCATACTTAGGTTTTCTTTTTATAAGAACTAACTCAAACCTTTTTCAGTAACCATAAAGTGAACAGTGAGGTGTTTTTTGTTTTTTTTAAAAATCTGTTTTCACTTGAGTTTTAATAAAATCGATATTGCGATATGGCTCGGTGCAATCATGCAGGCTGCAGGCATTTAAAAGCTCGGCATTTACACACGTGTAGTTCATGATGCAGGTTGTTTCTGTTGCGCTTAAATCTTATAAAACTATTTTTTTGCTGGCAACCCCTCATTTGAAAAATAAAGAAATTAAGATGCAAATAGCAGTATTGTAGTTTTGTAGCAAAATAAGTTTTATTACTCAAATAATTTTACAGTAGAATAGTATTATTACAATATTTTTTTGGGGTTTTATTTTTATTTTTGTATTTCATTTTTATTTTTATTTATGAAATACAATACAAATTCGACCTGAGTTCGAATCCCGTCTCGTGGTCCTTTGTCGATCCCGCTCCCCTCTCTCTCCACCCAATTCTTTCCCGTCAGCTCTATACTGTCCTGTCCAAATAAAGGCATGAAAAGTGCATAAATAAACCTTTAAAAAATAAATAAATAAAATAAAGGGAGCGTAGGTGATTTTGGAGAGGTTAGCAATAGCAAGGTAGCTTTGAAAGCATAAGATCTCTCCCTCCCTGCAAATCACTCTCCAAAGCCACGCCTCCTCCAAAACAAATGAACGCACACCGGCAGAGCAGAGGCTAACCAGAAACACGATGAGAGATGGCGTCAACGCTGTCAGATAACCTAATGTCTTAAAAACATTACAGTACAAAGTGCATAATACAATAATAACGCCCTTCATTCTCGCTCTGTCTGAAATAGCGTAATGAACGCGCTGATGACGTATCATGTCTGCGCGAACAGGGTGGGCTGAGGTGTGCAAATACATACTTTGACAGATAGGTAGGACAGATTGGACGTAAAAGATTGGACGAACATTTTATGGTCCTACGCCTTCCCCAGATTATATCCACTTAACTTAAGAATTGCTATTAGGATGTTTTCACGAGAGAATTTCATTTGTTTTTAAAAACGCATTTTTCTGTGCATGCTGATATTTGTGTAATTCTGTTTGTGCAGGAGGTGAAGGAACTGAACTTCCACTACTGGGCTCTGTTTGACGGTCACGGCGGTTCCGGAGCCGCGGTTTTCGCAGCCAAGTTCCTCCACCTCCATATCGAGGAGCAGCTGCAGGAGGTGCTGGAGATCCTGAAGAATCCGTCCCTCCAGCCGCCCACCTGTCTGTGCGAGGAGAACCCCGTCCATCACCTCCACCCGTCTGCCGGATGCTCCCAGCGGGGCCTGTCCCGGGCCGCTTCGCTCAGAGGGGCCGCCGGGGCCCCGGGGTCCCCTAATACAATGGCCCCGCGGTTCTTCATGGAGAAGAAGATCAAACAGGAGAGTCTGGTGGTGGGAGCCATAGAGAATGCCTTCAAGGAGATAGTGAGTCTTTGGATCAGTTACTGTAGTAAACTCACATGGCCACTAGAGGGCAGGCGGAGCTTATAGGAATGATGCATTATTGTAAGTGACTGTGTTGATTTTAAATTTCAGCTTTGCATAAGAGTAATAAATGACATTTTAATATATATTCAAATAGAAATCAGTCATTTTAAATTGTAATAATATTTCACAATTTTACAGATTTTACTGTATTTTTGATCAAATAAATGCAGTCTTGGTGAGCATAAAAGAGGTTAGTGCAGTAGTTCCCAACCCTGGTCCTGGAGGCACCCCAACACTGCACATTTTGCATGTCTCCTTTCTCTGACACACCAGTTTCAGGTCTTGGAGTCTCTACTAATGAGCTGATGACCTGAATCAGGTGTGTTTGATTAAGGAGACAAACAAAATGTGCAGTGTTGGGGTGCCTCCAGGACCAGGGTTGGGAACCACTGGTCTAATGTACTTAAGCAGCGATCCTATATGTGTGTTTTTTTACTTAAATGTCGATTGAATCCAGTCTCATGTGACCCTGATTGAGTTCTCTGTGTGTTTGTGTGATCTCAGGACTCTCATATCGCTCGAGAGAGGATGGTTTACTCTATATCTGGAGGATGTACCGCTCTAGTGGTGGTGTATTTACTCGGAAAACTGTACGTGGCCAACGCCGGTGACAGCAGGTGAGACTGAATATGACTATTACTAAACCAAATCACCATTTTGTAATATTTTGCATATTTCTTTTATTCTCATTTAAGAGAGCTTGTGTCTAGATTAAAGAGATTAAAAAATGTCTAGATTTGTTTTTTGTTTTTTCAGTGTATGCAACAATTAACGGCGTGACTTTATGAGTTTAGGACTTTCTGCTCTGATTTAAGGCCTTTTTAGATCTTTATTTGAGGAAGAATATCTTTTTGCATCAGATGGAACAAAAGTTATTTCCATATTCTAGTGGTTTGGAGCAGAAGTATTTTAGCCTTTTTGTGTGAAATGAATGAAAAAGTAATGGAGAGCTGTTGGAAATTGTGTTGTCAGTCAGACTTTGAACTTGAAGTGTTGCTAATACAATACATTTACATTTAGAGACATATTGACGTATTGTGTTCCATTAAGATTATTCCTTAAATTTTCTTTACTTAATCTTAAAATGTCTTAAATTTTAACTTTTTATAATCCTGCAAACAATCCTGGTTTCCACAAAAATATGAAGCAGCACAACTGTTTTCAACATTGATGATAATAATAAATGTTTCTTGAGCGGCTTTGATCACGGGAATAAATTACATTTTCACAGTATATTCACATAGAAAACGGTTATTTTAAATAACAAAATGATTGTTTTTTTGACAAATAAAGGCAGCCTTGGTGAGCAAAATGTTTTCTTTCAAAAACAGTAAAACATCTTACTGACACCAAAACTTTTAAAAAGCGGTGTATGTTTAAATGTAATGTAATGGAAAATAAACGTGGCTTTTATTTAGCTTTGTTTTTAGTACACCGTAAAAAATGACCGTGAATTTAACGGTAAAAGACTGTAAGTAAAAAAAAATAAACGTGGCTTTTATTTAGCTTTGTTTTTAGTACACCGTAAAAAATGACCGTGAATTTAATGGTAAAAGTGCTACAGTAAAAACCTGTTAAATGGTTAACGGTAAATTCCCCTTCTATATCCGGTGAAAAACTGTATTGGACATTAATTTTACGGTAGTATACCGTTTTTGGAAGTGAAAAAGACCGTATAATTTACAGTGAATAACCGTAAATTGACATTCCCAGAATTCCCTGCATTACATTTCAAATTTGATGTTTTTTGTTGAAATAACTATGTTTCTTCTTAGTTTTTTCTTATCAGTTTTGTATATTAGGGTTGAGTGTTAAACCTAATGTTGTTAAATGAATGTTTATTGCATTATTTCAGTTTCATGTGTGTTACCGTGATGGTGTTTAGTGTTTGTGTAAATGACGCTGTGCACCTTCTATATATGTTATTATTTAAAAGCTGCTTGTGAAGGGCTTTGGTTCGTCATATGACTTTCTCATCACCTCCTGCATTTGGTGGTTATCAGTGAATTACAAAGGTACAAAACAGATTTCAGTACTTCAGTAAGGTTGGTATATTAACATTATATCAGTTCATGAAATTACGGTATTTAACTGTAAAGTTAAGTTAAAACCTAAAACGTTGCTACCTTATTTTTTATGGTAAAATTCCGGCAACCACAGCTGCCGTTTTTTTTACCGTAAATTTTACGGATTTTTTTTTACAGTGTAGCATCGACATTGTCTGCTCCATTCTTCTCTAATAGACTCCACACGTTTCATTTATTCTGCTCTGTTTTGTGCAAATATATAAACTTTATGATTCTATTTTACGTTCTGTTTAGTATTCCATTCTGCCCTGTCCAGTGTATTCTATTCTCTTCTGTTGAATTCTTGATGGTTCTGTCAGCTCTTCTCCAGTGAGCGCTGTATGATGTGCACTCTGCTGTGTTTCAGGGCTCTGATGATCTGTGGAGGAGAGATCACGCCCATGTCCAGCTCCTTCACTCCTGAATCAGAGCGCCAGAGACTTCAGTTCCTGGTGAGAGAAATCTGGATTCACTTGGCTTTCCCTCTCTTGGATGTTTGTTTGCATTCTTTAAAGGACAGAATCCCTGATTATGGAGCACGTTTTTCTCTCTCAGGCTCACCTGCAGCCGTCGCTGCTGGGAAACGAGTTCACGCACTTGGAGTTTCCCAGAAGGGTCACAAAGAAAGAGGTTGGGAAGAGAATGCTGTGCCGAGACTTTACCATGAACGGATGGTGAGTTCTGGAGAGTTGTTGAGTGTTGTACTGGATCTGATTAGCAGTCTATCAACAGTTATTCTCCTCAAGAACCGCTCACTTGACTGACATGTAAAGAGTTAATTTTGTCTTTATGTGCCTTTATCATGACATCACAATAATAGAGCAGAAACCCAAGTAATGAAATAATTATTAATCAAATAAAATTATATAATTAATATCTAAAATTAATTAGATTAGGCGGCGCTTAGGCGGGGCTTGACGGGGTTATAGCCCCATCAGAAACTAGTTTAGCCCCGGCACAGCCCCCCCCCCCCCCAAGGATTTCCTAATGATGTTTCTGTTTTTTGGTGTCACTTTCATTAACAGTGGAAAAATAAATATTAAAAACCTAAAAAGAAAAAGTGGCTAATATGTGGCCTATAAACAATTGATATTATGGGGGAGGGGTCAAGCAACACAAGCAAGCAATGCGCAAACTGTGCGCAAGAGTTGAACGTCAGTCAATTCATTATAGAGAAAGTAAAAAAAAAACTAACAGAGCTTTCTAACGCTGCATTAACGGAGCATATTCTCTGAGACCACGAGAGACGAAACTACCATATTGGCCCGAATATAAGACGACCCCCCTTTTTCCAGATGTACCTTTTGGAAAAAGGCTTTTTAAAAACCAAATCTTGTTTTTTCTCAGTAAAACACATTTTGTCTTCAATTATTTTCATATTGCATATTTTTCCTATTTTAATTTTTGTTTTGAAAGTATGGTAAAAACAAGTAAAATGTACCAACAATCACATTTAAAAAATATACACTTTTTGATATACCATAAAAAAAATAGTAAAAATCCCGTCTGAATTAGGACATTTAGGCTATCCATCTAATAGTAGCCTACCAGAATCTTATTAACAGTAGAAGTTAAATCTTACTGTAGTCTTCAAATCTGGGTACTGTCTTACGTTTTAAAATCACGAAGAGTTTGGTCCCATCAGGCTAACGTGACAGTCACGACTTGTGCAGCTGTAAGCTTTTCTCTTTCTTTTGTTTTTACTCGCGATCTTTACAACACGCATGACATTACGTATTTCATGGCACACTCGTTTTATGCATATTTGGCGCCACCTATTGTTGTGGGCGTATTATTGACATGTCAAAATCTAGACCCTGAATATAAGACGACTGCGTTTTTTCAGATGTATTTCCAAGAAAAAAAACATTCAGGCTAACGTGACAGTCACGACTTGTGCAGCTGTAAGCTTTTCTCTTTCTTTTGTTTTTACTCGCGATCTTTACAACACGCATTACATTACATATTTCATGGCACACTCGTTTTATGCGTATTTGGCGCCACCTATTGTTGTGTGTGTATTATTGACATGTCAGAGTCTAGACCCTGAATATAAGACGACTGCGTTTTTTCAGATGCATTTCCAAGAAAAAAACATTGTCTTATATTCGGGTCAATACGGTACTTTAACATATGCTGATAACGGTATATAACTGTCTGAAATGATTCCCTTAATATTTCTCTTGTGGTCCGTATAGTGAAAAACAAGAAACGTGTTTGGCATTAAACAGGTTGTTTTTGAAAATCGGTGCATGAAATAAAGCTGCTCTTAAAGGGATAGTTCACCCAAAAATGAAAATCCTGTCATTAATTACTCACCCTCATGTCGTTCCAAACCCATAAGACCGCCGTTCATCTTCGGAACACAGATTAAGATATTTTTGATGGAATCTGAGAGCTCTCAGACCCTCCCATAGACAGCAAGGGTACTACCACGATCAAGGTCCAGAAACGTAGCAAGGAGATCGGTAAAATAATCCATGTGACATCAGGGATTCAACTGTAATATTACGAAGCTACGAGAATACTTTTTGTGTGCAAAAGAAAAAAAAAAGACTTTATTCAACAATTTGTCTCCTCCGCGTCACCCTGTAGTGCCATTTTGGAGAATATCCACTGAACGCAAACAGCGTATGTTGTTCTGTATCAGCCGCACCACACAGATCTGTTTTCTACGTAGTTTGTGCTTTGATTTGAACAAAAACAACGTATCCGTGTGGTGCGGCTGACACTTAATCCTTAAGCGTGCCAGTCCGCTATGCCACTGTGTGGAAATAGTTGTATGAATTGTCGGCACTATCTATCGTAAAAACTTTTTCGAAGCTGCTGTATATAAAAAAACACAAGGTGGCTGAATTTGCATGCTGTTTAGATAGCTGACGCTTATTAGTTCATTACTTTCACTAAATTTAATTAGTTTTTTAGCACCCCCTCTGAACTGTTAAGCCCCCCCTTAGCACCCCCAAGAAAAAAATCCTGGAGCCGCCACTGTAATATTATCAATAATTATTATATTAATATTTATTAATTATTATTGTAATCTAGCAATTATTAATTACATAAAATTGTACTTTATGTTATTGATCTATAAAATACAAAAATTATTAAATTAATTAAAATAATTAATATATATTATTATTTTATTAATATAATAATAATAATGTTAATTATAATACATATTAATATAATAATTATTGATACAATAAATGTGAATTATCTATAATTATGTTAATATGTATGATTTATTACATTAAAATAACAATTATTGGTGAAAATAGTGGTTAATATTATTAATTAATAATCATATTATTATTGTGGTAAATCTATTGTGAAAAACACACAAAAACCAAATTAATTCTGGCTGGTCACGAACTATTCATATGTTATTTATTCGACAAATATAATAAATATTATTAATCAATAAATATCTGTATATTTGTACAGAAATAGGCAAAATGTATTGTGGTGTGAAAAAGACACAAAAGCTAAATTAACTAGTTGTCATAAACAATTATATTAAAATAATAATATTTATTAAACATAATCATTATCTGTATATTTGTACAGAAGTCAACAAATAATTTTGTACATTTCAATATGTATAACCCTTTCCGTAATATTTTCCACAGTGCATTTTTGGAAATGTGTGTGCAGACATAATCAGATTTTCCGTCCATCCATGAGTATGGATTTGGTGTCTAATTTGTGTGTAATTTTCATCAAATGGTCAGTGAACAATTGTGGGCGGTTCATCAGAGTTCGACACTTGGATCTGATTGGTCTGTGAGACGGATCTAGTCTGAATCAAGTGTTTAGAGCCGCTCCCTCAGGAGACATGGACTTCCATTAGTGAGTGAATGTGTGTGATCCTGCTCAGAAGTGCGTGTGTGTGTGTGTGTGTGTGTGTGTGAGAGAGATTGTGTGCGTGTGTGTGTGTGTGTGTGTGTGTGTGTGTGTGTGAGAAAGATTGTGTGCGTGTGTGTGAGAAAGATTGTGTGCGTGTGTGTGAGCGTGAGCATGTGTGTGTGTGTGTGTGTGTGTGTGTGTGAGAGCTAGTGAGCGTGTGTGTGTGTGTGTGTGTGTGTGTGAGAAAGATTGTGTGCGTGTGTGTGAGCGTGAGCATGTGTGTGTGTGTGTGTGTGTGTGTGTGTGAGAGCTAGTGAGCGTGTGTGTGTGTGTGTGTGTGGGCATGTGTGTGAGAGATTGTGTGTGAGAGATGGTGTGAGTGTGTGTGAGAGAGAGTCCTCGGGGATGTAATTGAGCTCACGACCTGCACTGTCAGACAGGGATGTTGAATCGTGTGGGAGTGCCGCTGCATCCAGGAATCATATACAGTATTTTATCATACAAGTTTAGTTGCTCGAATGTCTGAATTGATTAAAGGAATAATTCACCTAAAAGTCATCTCAGTGTCGTTCCAAACCCAAATTACTCTGTAATTACATGGAAAAAAAGTATGAAGCACATAATTCAAAACATTCAGTCAATGGAGACCCAATCTTTTAAGCTGGATGGATGCAAAAGCATCTTAACAGTTATCCATATGATGCTTGCACTACATTTCAAGTCTTCTGTATCCGTACAATAGATGTGAATGAGAAACAGACTCCAATTTTCAGGTTTTGTGAGCTGGATCGATTGATTCGTTGAAAAGACCTGACTTGAAAGAATGATTCATTCACTCATTGCTTCATCCCTTATGAACACTTTTGAAACTCTAAAGCTTTGGTCCATATTTATTGGAATGGGAAATGTATGGAAAAGAGTGACCATACATTATTTAAATCTCTTATTTTGTGTTTCACTGAATTAATTTGAAATTAATATTCATTCTTGGCAATAAATGCTACACTGTAAAAAAAATTCCGTACAATTTACGGTAAAAAAACGGCAGCTGTGGTTGCTGGAATTTTACCGTAAAAAATACGGTAGCAACGTTTTAGGTTTTACGGTTTTATCTTAAATTTACAGTTAAATACCGTAATTTCATTAACTGATATAATGTTAATATACCAAACTATTAAAGTACTGAAATCTGTTTTGTACCTTTGTAATACACTGATAACCACCAAATGCAGGAGGTGATGAGAAAGTCACATGATGAACCAAAGCCCATCACAAGAAGCTTTTAAATAATAATCATTCACACAAACGCTAAACACCATCATGGTAACACACATGAAACTGAAATAATGCAATAAACATT